GTAATTTCATAAGGTAGAATTCATATTGATAGTATTTGTATTTTGAGAAAATATATTTAATGAGAAAGAGAATTAATAAAATTAGAGATATTAGTTTTAGAATTTGATATTATAAGTAATATTATAGATTTAGCTATATGTAATAATACTTTAAATAATATTTAAATATAAATCTTAAGAAAAAGTTATTAATAATATGCTTATTTTATTTGACCTATTACTTTTTCTTAATTTTGACTTATTTAAATTATAAACTTATAATATTAAAGAAATAATATCAAAAAATTAATTACAATATGCAATAATTTTTTTACATTAAAAAATATAAACTTATTTAATTTTTTTAAAATTTTGTGAAAATTCTTCATAATATTTCTCTTCTATTAAATTTCTTATCTTTTATATATTTATATATTATTTAATAAAATTATTAAATAATAATATTTTATAAAAGATTTTAAAAATATAATTTAATAATTACTTACTATATATAATATATTTTTGTAAGATTATTAAATTTTTATAATATTAATGAACATTTATATTTGAATTTTTTGTTGATTTTCTTAGCAATAATTTTACAAAAACATTTTTAACCCTTAAGAATAATATGATATTCAAGATTTATTTTTTGTATTTATTTATAAGAAGACAAACCTGAATATCTATTTATTAAAAAAGGCATTTAGTAAAATATATTTTATATAATATATAAGAAAAATTTATATTAAATCTATGATTAATTGTGTATTAATTATAAATTAACTGCAGTTTAACTTCTATTTATATTATAATATTTTTTAGTATCTTTTAAACTATAAGTATAAAATTATTTTTAAAATATTTTAAAAAACTTAAAATATTTTAATATCTAATGATTATAAAAAGATGAAATAAAATTTTAGATTTATTATACTATAATGTATCTAATAATAGTATTTTTAAATTTTTAAAATTAATAGTTATTAATATATATTAATTTTTTAATTTTTTAATTTTTAAAATAATTTATTATCTATAATTACAAAAATATATAATTCTTTTTAGCAATCACTTGATCAAGAATTTTTATGTAAAATATATATATTCAAGAATAGTCATAGCTAGCTTACAAACAAAAAATAAACTTCTTTTTTAAACTTCTTTCTCTCTTTGTTCTCCCTAAATCCTCTTATTTTAAAAAATAGTCTCTGTTAGTCTAAACAGTGATAATTTTTTTTTAAATATTTTTTCACCATTTCTTATAGCTGTTTTTTCTATTTTTTCTCCTTTTTCTTTTTGCTTACAAAAGTAAGTATCAGAGGTATTTCAAATGATTATTAAGATTGATAATAACTTTAGATCAATCAATTGTACATAATGATTCTTATTACTTTCCTAAATTATCATACTTCTTTTAGATCTTTGATATTATAAAGCTTATCAATCTTAGTAGAATTTTTCAGTTCTTATAACTGTATAATTTAAGTTTTGCATAATGACTGCTAGTGATTATAATCTAAATTGATAGACATTTTTTGCATAGAAGTTTAAAAATACTGAAGAGCCTCTGATAGAACTTAGTGATATAGATATTTCTGTAATGAGAGGTTGTTATAATTAAAAATTAACCAGGAAATTTAGTTAGGAACTTATTAGAATTATATTTTTTATTAGCTTTTTTTTTGATTTAATAATAGTTTAAATTACTTGTTTTTGTATTGAATTTAAATTTTGGATAGGAATTATTGTTAGGTAAAAGAGAAAGATGTAATAATAATTTAGTTATCATATATTAATGGAGACTCTATTAATTGATTATTTTTAGAATATAGTATAATGACTAGTTGGTCTGAAATTAGTAAGTTTTTAACTTATAAGGATGTTTTAGGTAATTCAATTTATTTTTTCTACTATATATATCTAGTTTTCAAGATTTCTATGTATTAATTTACTGGATTTGAATTTTCATAATAAATATGAGCATTATCATATGTTTAAAAAAAAATAATTATAAAAATATAAAATTAGTTTTTTAGATTTATCGTATTAAGACCTATTAAATAGTAGTATTTTATATTTCTAAGATTGATAGATAGCAAGATATATAAGTTTAAAATTTTAATTTTTTTATAAAATTTATTATTTTATTATCTTTAAAAATTCACTAGATAATTACATTTTTTTTTAGAAAATATTACATATATTAAATAGATAATTAAATTAGTTTAGTTAGTAAAATTAAATTGTATAATAGTATTGTTATATTTAATAAATAAACTGTTGTCAATCAATTTTATTTTTTCTTTAATTTTATTATATATAAATATTAATTATTTTGTAAATTTTTGATAAAATAGACTAAAAGATATTTTATTTATTATAATTCTTATAAATAAAAATAATTCAAAAAAGTATTATAACTATATCATAAGATTATAAGCAATTTTTTATAAAAATTTATAACTGAGTAGTTTTCTCTATCATCAATTAACATTATTATTCTTATTTTTCTTTTAATTAAGATTTTTTTGCTAGTTGTTGCTTATTTTGAATAATATTTTTAACTTGAAGTTTTACACTTTATTGTTCCTTTTGTAACTCTTCGATCATTTTATAAATACCTATATAACTTTATTTAACTAAAATTTTCAATGTCAATGTCAATATCAAGCTTAAATATTATTTTGAGTTTGTAAAATTCTTATTTTATTTGAATTATATATTGACTACAACTATGATAAAAATAAAGAAGCTAAACGAATAATAGTTTTATTTTGAAGAGTATGATATATTCTTTTATGAACATAATTGTTTTCAAATTATTGAATAACTTTATTTACTTTTAGAAGCATTTTAAGTTTTAATATATCTAATGCTCCTGAAATTTTCTGTAAAGGTAAAAAAGCCAGTGCAAATAAATATCATAATATTAGACTAAATTTATCATCATTATCATATCTAGTAGCAAGTTTATATGATTAAATTTTTCGCTATTCAGATTATCCTAAATGAAAAACATCCTTTATATTTAATATTAGAAAATACATAGTGGGATGTATTGATTGATATTAACTTAAAATTGGTTAGAATAATTGAAAGTTATAAAGTAAGATCATTTTCTGCTATAAAGTTGATCAATTCTTTAAATAAGCTTTTGTAAATTTCTTTTGATTTACTTATTATTAATAAGAAAACTAATGAAAGAATTCTTGAATTTTTATTACTAATAGGTATATAAATGGTGTATAATTAATGAAATATTATTAAAATAGTTTTGAAAGTACTATTTATTAGCTAAAATGGAGTCTAAGATAAATGTTTAATATTTGCTTGTATAGCAAATAGTAAAATTTGATCATTACTAATTTTATAGTCTTTTATTTAAGGAAAATTTACTATTTAAAGTTAAACAAAATAAATTTGAAATATTAACTTCTTTAATAATACAAGCAATTCTACTCTTTTAACACATTTACTTTTTAAATAAAAGTATTAGAAGATGGTATATAAATATTTTATAATTTATTTGAGATTTTATATAACTTTTACATATATTAAGTTGTCTTCTTTTTCTTCTTTTATTCAAAGGTTTTTTTTATTTCTTTCTTTATGTCTTTAATAATTTTATTTTTCTATATCTTATGATTTATTTTTTTTGTTATATTTGTATCACTTATCATGTGATTTATCTTTATTTTATATGATTTGTATCTCGTAACATGTGATTTAATTATTTATTTATTTCTTATGATTTTTTGTTTGATTAATTATTTTCTAATCTTTTAATGTTGTAATTTTTTATAATATTTTCTTTTTATTAATAAAATCATATGATATAACATTTTATATTTTTTGATTTTACATTATTAATATTTTGAATTAAAGTATTCTCAAAATCTATTTTAAGAATTAATGATATTTTAAAAATAATTTTATAATTATTTAAATTATTTATATTAAATAAAATAAAATAATATTAAGTACTTTAACTAGTTATGATAATTTTAAAAAAATATATATTGAAAAAGTTTAAATATTCTTTTATAATCAATTTTAAAAAAAAATATAAAAATAATAATAGAATATAATGATAATTATTTTATTATTGTTAAAAAATATTTATTTATAATATTAAAATATTTATTTTAGAATTAAAGATAAAAAATATTAATAAAAAAATTAAATTATATTTTTTTGTTATTTAAAATTTATTATTAATATAATTTTAATATTTTATTTCTTTTAATTAAATAATTTAATTGTTTATTATTTATTAAATATTTATTAAAGTTTTTTATAAATGAAGTTTTAAATAGATTATTATTTAAATTTATATATATTTTATTTTATTATTTCAATTTAAAATTGCTATTCTTAAATAAATTAAAAAAGTTAATTATATTTAATTTTTATTAGAAAATATTTTTATTATAAATAAGAATGAAGTTATTATTACTTCTAATAGATAAATATAAATATAATTTAGAAAATTATCTTTTACTATCATTTACATAAATAAATATGTATTTATTAAAAGATAATTTCATTAATTTTACAAGATTATATACTTGCTTTATATTTATATAAATTACAAGCTATCTTAAAAATGTAAAGATTAGTAAATTTTAAATTATAATAATTTAATATTATTAATTTTTTTTAGTATTTATCAGCAAAATTTAATTCTCATTAAACTAATATATTTTGCGCTAATAGATAGTCTAATATTCAAGCTGGTAAACACTATATAAAAAAATTTGCTTAAAATTTTTTTATTTTTGATGAATAATAATATGTATGAGTGATAAGAAAGTATGAAATAAAAGTATTAAACAAAAAAAACCAAAATTCAAAAAACATTAATGTATGAAAACTATATACGAATTACAGAGGGGAATGATGCGAGATGTTAACCCACTAGAAATGTTGGTATTTAAAAGTATTTTTGAATACAATAAATTATTATACAATAATTTAGAATTGAGATATAATATTAAATAAATGCAATGTTAAAAGAGTTATTCAGAGGATAAATGCTGGTTTAACTGTTCCTCCCAATTATCAGGTTCCTCTTCATCGCCATCTGTGCTTACTATACCAGCGGCCGTAGCAAAATCTTGAATCCAAGCATCTGAATTTTTTAAAAAAAAAAATAATAAACCAAATAAATAAATAAATAAAAATACATTTTAACGAAATCACATTTTTAAAGTAGACTTACCTGATTCATTTCCGCTCTTATTTGCATCAAATAAGACTTCTTTGTTTGATGAATCTTCTTGTTCTTTATCTTCTATCTTTGTCTTTATTTTAAATTTGAAGTCAAAAACATTTAGTTTGTATTAAAGTTATGATAAATATTACTATAATTTAATGTAAATTACCTACCTCTTCGTTTTTCTCTTCCTGTTTTTCTTCAAATTTTCTTGATTCTTCATTAGAATCTTTTGAAAATACTTCATTTTCTAAAACTATAGAATCAATTGAGCCTAATGAAGTTTGCTTAATTAGAGATATTCTATAGAAATAATTCCTCCAAAATGTTGGTTCTTGCACACTTTTTTTTTTTTTAGAAAAAAAATTTTTTTTTAAGAAAAAATTCCTATCTAATTCATTATTCAATAACTTATTTTATATAGAATAACACTTACTGAGCTGGAACAAGTTCAAACCGCCTATAATTAAGGTTAGGATCGGCATTTAAAGCAGCCATAGCAGTTTGAAAAAATATATTCATATCAAATTGAAAATTTGTGTTTTCTGGTGGAGGAATTGTGAAATTTCGCTTGTCCTAAAAGAATGTAAATTAAGATTATGGTGATCAATATTGATTCGCGAAATTATCAGATCTGATCAAATTCCATTCCTTACATGGGATAATGCTAACATTTGCTGCTTAAGGCTGTCTTCATTTGGAAGTCCTACCCAGGGAGCAACGGCTTCTAAGATCAAAAATTTGTATAATCAATTAACCTCGATATTGGGCTAAATGACCAAATTATGAAATGAAAAAAAGAATTACCTGTTCCAGTTTTAGGTTTATGTGCTTCCTCATTAACTTGTTTAACAAATACTTCATGCTCATGTTGTAAATTCTTTGCTGTTTCTTCTACTTTTTGCTGAATTGTCTTTGTCAAAGACGCGACACTGGTTAAGGCAGTTGTCGCGAATGCTAAAGTTGTCAAATAATTAAAATAAAATAAACTTGATGCAAATCTAAATTTTTATATGAACGGTTAATTTAAGCAAGTGATCAATGATTACTCACAAGAAAACATCGCGGTATTCATAGACTTCGGAACCTGAATATTTTTCACAGATTCTGGTACATTATTCATAACAGTTGTTGGAACATTTCTCACAGCATTAGATATATCCAAGTTTTTCATTGCTTCCGGAAGCTCTAAATTCTTAACTACCTCTGGAAGTTCAAGGTTCTTTACTACCTCAGGTAGCTCCATGTTTTTGACAATTGCAGGTAGCAATTCGATATTTTTCACAGCTTCGGGTAATTCAAAATTTTTAACCTTTGGTACCTCCTCCATATTAAGGAAAGTTCAAACGATTAACGATTTTCGATTTTCACGTGTTTAATTAAGTAAACGATTTGTACAACCAACTTCATTTGTTTATCTTATAGGGATCTACGCACGGGGTCCTAATCCTCTTCTTTTCGAAAACATTTTTAAATATGTCACAGTGCGTATGATTTTAATCGCAAGTTGCTTTTAAATTGTAATTGACTTAATAAATATCTGACTTTTTTTTTTATTCAATACGCAAAGAACTCCTGCCTGGAACACACAACAATCAGGTAGTTAAAACTTAATACTTCTTGATCTACTACTACAGATCTAATTTTTTTTCTTTCGTATTTTTGATCAGGAAGCGCGTTCGGAAGAACTTTTAACTTGCCAACTACGACTACCTCGTCAATGCCAGCGTTTGGAACTGGTACTCCTTTCGGACAACAAAAATTTGGAACTGGATTATCATCAAGTTTTACACCTGCTTCTTCTGCACCACGGTTTGGATTTGGGCTTACTTCTGCATCTTCTGGGATAGGGACCGGACTTACGGGGTTTAATCCTTCACTTTTGGGAACAACACATGGGTAAGTTTTAAAGAAATTTTATTAATTATTTAAATGTCCTATTTAAAATGTTCTTATTTATATTTAGGGGTCTTGCGTCAGAAATAGAAAAGTAAATGTTTCATTTCATTTATAATTTTGAAAAGATTAAATATAAATTAATATTTTGATTTGATTGTTTTTAAATGTAATAGAACGCTCGTAAAACTAACGCAAGGGTACGTGATAATTAACATTTTCAAATTTCTTAATGAATTATTAACCATTTAAAATAATTTTAGGGGACAACTGTCAGCTAATATTACAAAAGCAACAAAATTTTCAGAACTTACTGAACAAGATCAAAAATTAATTACTGATATAGAGTATCCTTTATTATTATTAATAAATTTTTTTTTGCCGTTAATTATATATCGGCAATAAGATTTTGTATTTTATTCCTTAATAAATTTTCAGACAATTCATACAAAACCAAAAATTAATAATGTCGAGCATTGAATCCACGCATCTACCGGATTTGAATGATTATGTAAAAGAAGTTGCTGATGAATCTCGAGCATTGTTTCAGGTTTGCATTAATCTTCATTGCAGCAAGTTGTCATTTGGCTTCATAATTCATTGTGTGACAATAATCGATTGTCCACATATAGGCCGGGCTAACCTGCTGAACATATACCGTGTAGAAATTAAACGCCTTGAAGAATGAACTACAAACTGCCCATAATCTAATAAACGAGCGATTAAAGGATCTAGGAGGTCAAATCGCAATTGTGGATAGCGGTAAACGGTTTTACGAGGCGGCTTCCCAAGGACAAACCGGAAACATTTTACAACTCGGAGATAATGTATTTTCAAAGTAAGAAAATTCAAACGCAATGGCTTAATTAATAAATTTAAATTAATTCATCTTTTGATATTTTAATAATATATTGAATTTAGATATTATCATGACCTTTTAAATTCTTTCGAAGAACGATTGAGGCAATATTCTACCACAATTGAGGTTAATTTTTCTTTTCCTTCTTAAATCTTTTTATATTAGATTTTTTATCAATATTTTTTTATATATTAATTCTCATAATATAGGAAATAGATCGACATTTTTCTTCGTTATGTCAACAAGGCAATGAAAACGAGAGTACGTTCAAATTATCATTATCGTATATAATAGATTTCGATTATTAGATTATTAATAAATTTGTTTAATTATCGATACAGATAAAGATCTCGCCGCTCTTAATGAATCTATGCGTAGCCAACATCAAAGTTTCATGGCTGTTACTGGAAAGGTAGCAACATTACACGAGGATATAGAAAACCTTCGAGAAAAATATCTAAATTTTCGAAGAGTTCATTTTCATGATAATTCTAACCCATTTGAAGTACAAAAAGAACCAAGTATAGATAGTAAGTAGATGTTAAATCATATCCTTAGATTTTGCATTTATATTAATTTTCGAATTTTCACAAATAAGGTTCGAGAGGAACATCTTCCGATGAAAGAAAGCCAGCACAGGAATTGGCAAAAAATCTTCCAGTTGTAACATCAGCAGCCCAGCTTAATCAATTAAAACCACCTAGTCAAATTGATTTAATCAAACCAGCCCCCCAACCTAATATGTTTGTCCAACAGAGCCAATCTGGTTTATTTGGACAAACCAGTCAACCTGGCTTATTTGGCCAATCATCACAACCAAGTCTATTTAATTTAAATCAGCCAAAACCATCAACCTTATTCGGTCAAACTACACAATCGAACTTATTCAACCTCGGCCAGACAAAACCAAATTTATTCGGTCAACAAAGTCAACCAAGCTTATTTGGTCAAACTAGCCAACCCAGTATGTTTGGTCAAACTAGCCAACCCAGTATGTTTGGTCAGTCAAGCCAACCAAGTTTATTCGGTCAATCAAGCCAACCAAGTTTATTCGGTCAGTCAAGCCAACCAAGTTTATTTGGTCAATCAAGCCAACCAAGTTTATTCGGTCAATCAAGCCAACCAAGTTTATTCGGTCAGTCGAGCCAAACCAGCCAACCAAGTTTATTCGGTCAACCTAGTCAATCGAGTTTGTTTGGTCAACCAAGTCAGTCCAACCTCTTTGGTCAGCAAAGTACAACTACTAAACCCGGTTTATTCGGTTTCACTCAACCGAACACATTTAGTTTTAAGCGATAAATAAAAATAAAATAAAATAAAAATATCATTATTTAGAATTTGGATGTGGTGCAATAGTGATATTTTATATCATTTGATCTTTAATAGAGTCTTTAATAAATATCTGAATATATAAATATAGGATGTCGTTCCTCCATTTATTTTAAGAAATTTTGTTACATAAGAATATATTTATTTTATTAGCATATTTGATTATTTGTTCAATAAATCATTTTTTGATATTTTATGTGGTTGTCTCAGTCATATATTATAATCACATTTTGACGAAGAGAAAGTAGAATATCTTTAATGAAAAAGAAATGAGTGTTGTTTATTTCACCACCGAGATTTTTATTTAAAAATTTAGTTTCTTCCGATTTTTTTTTTCTTAGTGGGAATCCTACTTGTTATTCAACCGTCCTTGTCATCATCTTAAGTTTTAACAAAATCCAAAATAAACCAATATCGCTTAATTAAATTATTAATCTCAATATTATGTATTATGATCATGAGTTTAAAATCAATGAGAAATGATTAATTAATTTAACCTAATTCATTTCTATCTATTTGAGTAAAATTAGAATTGTATAAAAAGAAGTCCAATCATATTTTTCAAACAAAAATTTTTTTATATATATCATAGAATGAGGCTTGATTTGATTGCTAATATAGTGAAATCTCCATAAGTGCATTCTCTATAAATGCATACTTTATGTAAATTCTCTCTAAATGCATTGGTTTCAACTCATAAGAGCTCTTAATATTTTAATCTCTATAAATGCATACCCTCTCTAAATGCACATTCTGCTATTTTTTTTTTATTATGATCCTAAGGAAGTGATTTATGAAGGTGTCACTATACATTTTTAAAGATCTGAGTAAATATAAAAATTATAATTAATAAATTAAAATTCTACTTTATTTATTAATTGAATTTTTTAAGATATCTTATATCTTAATTTCATTTTAGTAGAAAAATTGATTAATAATTGTATTTATAACTTTAATAAAGAATTATTATTTTATTTATTTAAAACTATTATTATGCTTTCTTAAAATTTTAATTTTAATTATAAATAATCAAAAATCTTTAAGATTTATTTAATTATTTAATTAACTTGATATATATTTTTTTTTAAAATAAATTATACTTTAATTACATAAATATAAAAATTAATAATTTTATTTTAAATCTGTTTTATAAAAAACTTATTTACTTATTATTATATTTTTTTTCTTAATAATAATAATTCATTTTTAATTTTTTTAATTATTTTATTTAAATTAAAATGTTCAATAAATATAAAGAAATTATTATTATAATATTACAATTCAATTTTATAAATTATATAAAAATTATAAAAATTTGTTTTTTTAAACTTTATGTTAAATTATTATATAATAAATACTTTAAAATTTTTATTTATATTTGAATTTAAAATAATAATTTAAAAATAATTTTTTTATAAAATATAAAATAAAATTGTAAAAGAATTAGTAATAATTATAAAATTAATAGTTATTTATTTATTTTATATTATTATTTTATAAATATTTAATATTATATATTATTAAATTTTCAATTTTAAATATTATATTTATAAAATATCATAAAGTTAAAGTTAAATTTTATATATTAATAATAAAATTATTAAAAATAAAATTATCTATAAATGATAAATTTTATAAATAAATTTTATAAGTAAAAGTAAAAATATATTATATTTATAATTAAATTTAAATAAAAATTTTATTTTAAAAAATTAATTATTTAATAAAATAAAATAAAGTTTTAAATTATATATTTTTAATAGTTTTTGCAAACTAATTTTTTTAATTTAAACATATTTATTATAAGATAATATTTTATAATAAATTTTATAATATTATTTAAAATTAAAATTATTGATTTTTTTGTATTAAATTAAGATTAAAATATTATAAAAATTAAAAATTAAAATTTTATTTTTTTATATTAATTATAAAATTTTAAAATTATATATATAAAATTTTTATAATAAAAAAAAGATAATCTATTAAGAAAAATAAAAAAATGAGTTAATATTAACATCATATTTGGTAAAGTAAAATAGATTTTTTCAAATACTTTCTATTATAAAAATAATTTTAAAAATAATAAATTTTTAATGTATTTTAAAAAATTATAAGTTATAATTGATTAATATTTAAGAAATAAATATTATATAAAATAAGTTTATTATTAGATTTATTTACTTAATTCTTTTATATTATAAAGATAAAAAATTGTATAATTTAATATTTTATGATATTATAAA